GCCCTCTCTTTCATGGGAGCTGTTACTGGCTTAGGGTTTTTCCCAGACTCTCAATGATAGTTAGTCACTGCTAATCTCATCCTACTTGACAGTTGTCTGAGTTCAGAAAGCCCCTGTTTGGAAATCACTCTCTATCTTCCCAGAAAAGTTTTGGAAGTTTCTCAACTTCCTTCTGTAAAAAATCTTCACTTGAGGGTAGGAACTGCCTCTTGTGCTTCAGTTGTTCTGGTAATTTTTTATAATCCTTTTTTTTTTTTTTTCTTTTTGATGGTAGGGCTTTTTTTTTTCCATTTCTTTCATAATGTCAAAGAACTCATTAGGAGCTGAGTATGCACATGCTGTGGAGGAGATATCTCTGGGCAGATCCCGTAAACTCTATAAACAGCAGCAGCTTGTTTTCTGAGCTGTCAAACACAGCACAGTGGCCAGATCAGCAGATAACACAGAGCAGTGCAGCTTCTTGTTCAGACTTGTGCAGATATTTACCTGCACATGGTAAATGAAAGAAACATCTGAATAGTTTTCAATCATTTGCACTTGCAAAGGAAGATCTGATGTTCAAATGACTATGAAATTTAGGCAAGAGTGGGTCTTCAAACAGTTTGCCAAGCCATTTGACTTGGCATATGAGATGTTACTGAGTTGTTTACTATGTGCTTAGTATGGCAGTAGTTGCCTCAGTCATTTCTTGCAAGTGCTGTTCTACACATATTCCTTCTGCAAAATTTGAACTTAATTGACACTTTGGCATTTCTGGCATAGATTGACTAGAAGTCATGGTCCTGTTTTAATTCTACTTCTTAAATGATTGTCAGGGAACTGCCATGATAATAGATACTTGTAGATATACCAAAATGTCTGCTCAAAGGTTTATGTTAATAGTTTATCCAATGGCTCAACCCTGCAATTAACCTGCAAATTCCAATTAAGACAAACCCATTTAGGTCCCAGGTAGAGCCTTCTGCTGGGATGCACAAACAGACAAATGCTGTGGGAAAACGTTTATAACTGAAGCAGTACAACATCACTGTGAGCTGCCCTACAGGATGTTGTAGAGACCAGAACAAAGTTCAGGGTGACATCCTAGGGCTCTTTGGGCCTCAGATGGTCAGGTGGTCCTGTCAGGACAGCTGGTCTACAGCTGGGGATGCCAAGACTACCTGTCTGCCTGCTTAATGGCTCTGCTGCTCTACAGGGGAAGCAAATGGGCTGGGAAATTTAGAGCTCTGGGAGAGGTGTCTGCAGCTCCAGGATATAATCATAGAATCACAAGGTTGGAAACGACCTTCAAGATCATCTAGTCCAACCGTCCTCCCACTAGCATTGCTACCACAAGCTACTAAACCAGATCTCATAGCTCCTCATCCAGGTGCCTCTTGAACATTGCCAAGGACAGCAACTCCACCAGCTCCCTGGGCAGGCCATTCCAACACTTTTTTGCAGGATAAAGAGCTGGGTGCAGGAAGGCAGGAAAAAAAATGCTATTAAAAAGTAAGCCGATTTTGGCACTTCCTCAATGTCCTGTCTGACTCTCTTAGCAGTGTATTTCTAAGATACTAAAAGCAGCAGCAGCACTGCTTTCCCTCCCAGGCCTTTGAGAGATTTCTTTTTGTGTGCTCACAATTCCTTGTGCATTTGGAAGCTGAAGAGAAGGCATTTTGGGCTGCTAGAAGAAAAAAACATGGTTTAATTTCATCTATGAGAACTAGTCTGCCATTTCATGAGTGTTTCCTGCTCATTGGTGTGCAGCTTTGTTGCTCCAGTTGGCCGGAGTTGTAGCTGGAGACTGCAGGGAGGAGAATGCTAGCAAAGTAATTGGCCCTGGTCCTATCGAGGGTTTTGTGTATCAGGATGTAAATTCAGGCTGCAGTCTTATCAGTGAAGATGTGCAAAGGCCAGTTCCCCTGTGCAAGAGGCTAAGAGAAACCTATGATGCTAAGAAAGCAAATAATTACTTTTTGCAGCAGGTTGTAGGCATTAAATAAAAACGTTTTATTGCAAATGAAAGCATCTCTTCTTTTTTTTCTTTTTTTTTTTTCTTTTTCCCCTTGCTCTGTTTATGAATGTGTTCTTGGGACATTGCTCAGTGCAATGTGGCATGGTAACTTGTGTGCCCAGAGTAGGTAGGAAATGCTTCAACATAATCATCTGAGAGAGCTTTGCTCCAATTTTGTTAATAGAGGGAAAAGTTAACCACGCTGCCATAAAATAAATAAAGAGAATGGGAAAGGAAACCCCACTGCTGTTTGTTAAGGAGGAACAGATGTAGAGCTGTAGCAGCCTGCCAGCTAGGTCAGGTCATATCAAATACTGTGGTTGTTTTCTTGTAGCCTGATCTTCCTTTTGAATTCTCTTTCAGCAATGAAGTTGTAAGGAATGAATTAAAGAAGCTGCCAGCCCTTCCAACACCAGCACTGAAGGAGCATCCTTCCCTTGCTTACTGGTAATGTTTCATTCTGTGAGTAGCTTTGTAGTGTTTCATCCAGGGCCTGTCTGTGGCAGACAGCGATCTGGAGTAATACTGGGACGCAGGTATTCCTGTCTCCTAACTCTGGATCCAACACCAACTGATTGCATGATGCAACACAAGTAAAGTAAAGCTATCACACTGCAAATCAGTTGCCCCGTGTGCCAAATGACTCCATTAATGTCTGGCAAGAAGATTCACTGTAAACCTCCAAGTGTACCAATGAAATCAAGAGACCAACCTAATATGCCATTCCCTTTTCCAGCACTTTAAATCTGTGAGAAGCAAGAGTTTTCCCAGTTTGAAATGTCACTGTTTTGTACTGCTGTGCGTTGTTTTTGAGTGATCCTGCTTTACCTTGGAAGTCCTCTCTGAATTAACTGAACTAACAGGGACATATGTCTTCTTTAATGTGAACTAGGTGATGTTTGGAGGTGGAGGCTTGCAACTTTACCTTTTATTGCACTGAAAATGAAATGCTGGGTAGGAAAAGGATCACAATTAAATTTTGTATGCCCCACAGGTAGCTTCTGTACCACCCTGCCAATCCCCATTATCTGTGCAAATGGGAAAGAATTAATGGGGAGATGCTGTCACTTGATTTTTCTGTTTGTTTCCCTGTCACGTTTGTCTTTATAGCAATCATCCACAAACCTCAGGGTGGGAGTGACCTTCTTTATTTGCTACTCTTAATTTCTTGGTAATCTTGATAATCTGAGGATGTCAGGGGAAAAAAGTTCAATTTGTAGTTTATGATTTCAAGTCTTCATTTTGCCAGCAAATCCATTCGCTTTTAAATAGCATGCCTGTAATACCAGAACTAGTGGTACCTAGTGTCAATCTATAAGTCAACCTTTACTCTGTGAGGTACTCATCACTTTCTAAGGACATCAGGGGAGAGTCGGAGTCCTAGGCTGAGATTAGGAACATTCACACAAACTAATGGTTCCCATAATCACAAACACATTAAAAAAATAGACCACCTCCATACAGATGTGTGGCCTGGTCTGGCTGACGCTGTAGTAGCTCAAGTTAAAAGTCACCACAAGAGGAATAGTGGGAACAAACAGCCATAAACAGGGAAGAAGGCAAATCGGACCCTTCAGTAGCTACAAGGAGTGAGGCCCACATAATCTTTGTTCCAGTTTCCTGTGACAGTATCTGTATATAGGAAAGCACTGACAGCCCAGGCTGCCTGTTAGGCCCTATCTGCCCATCTGTCTGCCCCCACTATCAATGAGAGTTAGTCAATGTTCGAGAATATTAACTCTATTCCTGCTGGGAAATCCCAGTGAAATCTGGGACATCCTGTGTCCTCTCTTGCCTTTGGGCTATGTTGAGTTACCTGGAGCGAGAAGAGCCAAGTCAAAACCTGAGAATGCAAGTATTTATGGTTTTACACAAGATACAGCACTTCTTGCAGCTGTACTTAATTCTGTGGGAGTTCCCATTTGACTGAGAACAGGTCACAGATTGGGAAGCTAGTTGTTTCCAATGGGGTAATAAAACCAATGGCTACAGTCCCGTGACTCACTTATAATTTCACTTCAGTGACCAGGCAGTTAGTTATTTTTAGTAGTGGATTTTTCAAAAACATCTTCTGAAATGCTGAATAGTCTCAGGAAGAGGCCACTGGTGAATCCAACAAAGACTCTAAAGTACAGCTGCAAATTTCCTTGATCTAAGTGGGCAAGATTTAAAAACATGTTTACTGACATGCTGCATTCCTTCTCTTCTGCATCTCACACAGGTTGCATACTGGATACAAATTTAATCTGGTCTTTTTGCAGTCAGTTTTGTGCTCTGGTTCTTCAGTATTAACACGAAGCAATAGCAAGTGAATTTCTAGCTCCAGAAAGGAACACTGAAAATATCAGGGGTAGGGCAAGCAATTGTTCCAGTTAGTTTTAAACAAACATACAAAACAATCCTATACTATATTTACAACTGCATCAAAATAGTCTGAAATGGACTAAAGAGTGATAAAATGTTAATTCGAGTAGATACCATGATACCTTCAACAAGTGACTATTGCAGATCTGCATAAAATAATACAGCATGTCTGACTCATATCGTGAAAAGCATCACCAATTGCTCCTATTTAGTGTAGTAAGACCAGTAGGATGGGTCCTGGATTCTTAAATTCAGTGAGGTCTGAGTAAAGACAGTTTGTGGCCCCCAGCTCCACCATCATGGAGTCTCCTAGTTACACACCCTTGCTCCAGGCCTTTCCATTCCAACCTCTTCTTGGAGATTTGTAGGCCTCACAACAAAGACGAAGGTTGTAATTTGTGTATCATGATGTTGCTGTTTACAGCTCTTTGTAGATTAAGAAGCATTAGTTGCACATCTTGTTCTCAAGCCTATCTTAGCATGACTGATTGAAGCAAGTAGGGTGTTGTGAGGTTTTTTTTGTTTTAAATGAAAACTGAGTTTCTAGTCCTCTCACACAGTTCAGGAACTGAGGCCCTAAATTTTGATTTCTCTTGTCCATGCATGGAAACAACTGATAGTATTTATTATTTTAGACTCAAAAATAATCACTGGACACTGGAGATAGTGTGTTAGTTCACATTCATTGTTATAGCATTTTGTCTTAATCTAGATCCTCTCCAGCAAGCCAGCACAGGTTACCAAAAGAAGGTAACAAGGATCCAAGGAAATGGCACAAAAGTAGATGCCAGAATGGAATTTCTAATGAATCATAGGGAAGCCAGACTTCTCCCAGGTTCCAACAGACTTTGCATGCAAGCTTGTTTTTAGCAACTGAAAGCATCAGCATTGCCAGAAAATCCAACTTTGAAAATATCAGCTGAAAACCACAATTCAGTTTCTCTTAATACACAACAGACCACAGGCTCTGATCCTCCGGTTGGTCCCAATGGCCTGTGAGATGCTCTGCTGGCTTCAGTGGGGCAGTATTTGATCATTTGGATCACTGCAAATAGAGATGATGTTAGCAAGTTTGAGAATACCATCAAAACTGACGAATCAGGCTGGAAACAGAATACAGAAGGGTGCAGCAATGGGTGGACAACTCAATTTGCTGGGTATAGAGTGGAGAAACAAATACCTTTGAAAAACTGAATCTAGTAATAAGAAGATCTGGCCCTGCATTTGCTTGCAAATTGCCTGCCGTTTAGTTCTGTAGACTGCTGTGACAGGAGGGATTTATTGGTAATTCTTCAGATCTTTATGAGTTATTTGCTATAGGACATCATCCAAGTATTAATTTTTGCAGCTCTGGGGGGAACATTTTATGATCTGACAGACAGACAGTAGCGCTTCAGCTGCCCCCACGTCTCCACATTAACTATGAATGAGTTTCTGTGTTGCTGACACAGCAACAAGCCAGAGCTGGGCAAGAGGAGACATCAGCTGGTGGTCCAGGCAGTGTCCTAGCACTCTCCCAGCTGTCAATAACAGCATGGCAGCTGCCTGGAGGAGAACAGCTGAAATGACAAGGGAGAAGGTCCTTAAGCTCTGCTGATCTTCCTTCTGACCTGTGAATGATTTTGCTTGTTTTCCCTGGCACATACTGGGCTTACACCTCCATCCCAGAGTAGGAGGCAGAAAGTGACCTCTTTGCTGTATGATCCTCCTTGCAGGACTGTGTGAATGAATAAGGAATCCAAAGAACTATTTGAGAAGCCAGTGTCAGGCAGCTAAGGTGGGATTCATCTGGTCATCAGCATTTCTTCAATGCAGACAATTCCATCTGAACTAGGGGCCTCAGCTCCCTTTACTGTCAGTGGAGAGAAGCAACAATAATATCCTCCCAGAGAAACCACCCAAACAGATTGGATGAACTGTGCTCTGGAATACCTCTTCCCACAGTTTGACTAGTCCAGAGTATAGAAAGGTGAAAGGCAGTAAGTCCTATTAATGCCTTGATTGATAATTCAAGCTTTATTTTTTATCCAAAAGAAAATGGAACCAAGGATGATATTTTTCTTGCACTACCATCTGCAGATCTCAAAATATTGTAAAGGAACATATTCAGTATTGTGAGAGAGCAATGGAGGCATGGAGAGTGTTGCCTGTATTTCTTTAGGAAAATTAAGGACTATCCCACATCTTTTAGTATGGTTTGAGAACATAAGTTTATGCTGTTCAAGAGGCTCCTTGGCATCCAGTCTATCCTTTTAAGGAAATGGGCCATCAATTGGCTTCCATACCCAAGGGATATGGTCCAGGAATATATCTGTCATAATAATTTGTAAGAAAGCAGTGCACAGCCAGAACCACATTAGGCAACCAGCAGGCAGGTGCATTTATCTGTTCCTTGAATGGCACTAATATTAAAGCTCGATCTATACCATAAAATGTGCTGAGTAGAAACCAAAGCTAAGAGCATTTTTTGCTGGAGAAACTCCACTATTTTTTGAGAAGTCATTCCTCATTTATTCCTGTACGAGACAGAGGAATTGCATGCATCCATGTGCAATCAGGGGTTTAAAAGATAATTTCAAAGGGTTGTAAGCTCCCTCTGTCCATCTTCTTAATTAAGAATGATGGTTATTGGAGATCTTCCATTGCTGAACACTCTTGTAATTCAGTTATTGCTCCAAAAGTAATCCTGTTTATGATAATCATAGCAGGAGAGCTGAGCTTTGCCTTCATATGCACGCCTGTACATCCATGGTACTTGCTGAGATCCGTGGGCTGAATATGGTTTTATAACTGTTGAATTTCATTACAGTTATTTTCAAAGCATTAAAATTATTCTGAGGGATTTGATGGGAAAGATGACCATTGCTTTACCCACGTAATTTGTCACTGACTCCATCAGCACCATGTAACTGCTGTGGTGTGCTGGTGGGACATTTCTTCACCCTGCCCCAGTAAGACCCATTTTATTTTCACAGGATGAGTTGGTGAGTGAGGAAAGCAGTTACTATGACAAATGCCAGGCTTGTAGGAGAACAGCTGGCCCTGCGGATGAACCGACAGACTGCCTCCTCTGAATCACTCTTTGGTGTCTGCGCTTGTGTTTTTGTTCCTCTGCCTTCTTCCTGGCTTTACCAGGGACAGACACACAGTCCTCAGCTCCCCCGTGACAGGGCCCCACTCCCCATCTGTGTACAGAACATCCTGTTTGTCGTGTCACAGTGTGGAATGTCCTCCTTGTGACATCACAGAACAGAGCATCCTGTGTGTCACAGGAGGATATGCATGGCCACAGCCTGTAACATCACTGAGAGCATTATGAATGGTGTCAGCAGAGGTGGGCCCTGCATGGACAGGGGAAATTCTTTTTGGCAGAGACACTGGCCCCAGACAGATGTTCCTGGCACAAGCATGCATATGGGGAAGGCAGCAATGGGAAGTTGTAGCCATATTAGGTGGGCTATGCTCAGTGAAATACCTTGCATTTTTCCACAAATGTCACCATGAGCGCATCTGAGCAGTTACAGTAAGGTCATCTACCTTACCAAACTGTTGTGCTCCTTCATACTGTCCTGCAATAAAAAAGCTTCACTTCTGCCTGGGGAAGGATTATCACATTGTGGACAACCATGCGGTTGCCTTTAAAGGTTCAGCTAGACAAAGAAAATGCAGAGAAGGAGCAATTCCAGTTCACAATAACCTAAACCACATGCAGCATTAGACAGACACTTGATACAACTGCAAGCAGTACTAGGTAGGGAAGGAGTTCAGGTTTCCCTCCTCTTAGACTGGTAATGTTTGTAATGTACCTCTAGGAGACTCAACAGACTCCTTATTCTTGAAGTTACAACATAAAGAGCAAGAGATTGGGTTTAAACATGAAGTCTTAAGTATTCTGCTATATAAATGCAGCAAAGCCCGTCCTGTGGGCATTACATTTCTGGAAGTTAAAGAACCAAAGTCAGACCAGCATGAAAGTACCAAGTCTGTAGGCTGTGATGTGCTGTAGGTCAAGAGGAATGCTGTGACTGTGCACTGTGAACCTTTGAAAGGAGATTATTGATTTATGCTTTGCCATGCTGTGACCTTGCTAGGACACCTGATTGTATGCATCAAATAGCTCTGGTTTTGTGCTCTCCTGCAACCCATTTACCAGAGAAATGGGAGATTCTTTAAAACTGAAACTGGGAATGTTTGACAGTCTGTTCTTTGGATCATGTTGACGTAGTCTCAGATGCTGCATCTCTGTTGTGTAGAGGTGAATGTCTAACATGCTTTCATCAAATGTGCCTAGAACTGTTGTCTGACATTGAAGGCCACTGACTGGAACATTCTAAACCATGAAAATCTCTTACTTTCCAAAGCAGCACTAGGAATATGCCCTAGCTGGTGCTGACTCTCAGTGCATGACCAAGTGTTGCCTGAGGAATTGCAAGTTAGTATAACCCAGAAATATGCAAAGGCACATCAATACTTCAACAACAAAAGGACTCAACTTTGAGTGACTAGGACACATTTTCTGAAACTGTTTAACCTGCTGTTAAAGACATTGCCTCTGTGTATACTGGGAATTTAACTCCTTGCTGAGATAGATGACTCCAAGAGTGTTTCTGCTAGTGCTCTTGTACATAGTGTTGTGCAATTGCAGTGAGGAGTAATCTGTGAGGCTTAGGGCTATTAGTGGCCACTAATTTCAGAAAGCTTTGCTAACTGAGCAAGCTTGGTGCTCTTGGAAAGAAGTTGCACCATCAGGGCAAAATCAAGCTTCAGCAGCATTGATACAGACTGTGTAACATCATAGGCACCATTTGTATGTAAGGAAAGTATTGTGGAGAGGGAAAAGCCTGTACATGTTTGTGCGTTAAAAAAGGTTATTCCAGAAAACCAACTCTTAGCAACCTAGTTTTATTCTCAGCCTGTGAGCTCCCCTTGTTTTTCCTCAGTGACATCAAATTCCATCATCTAACATTTTTACTTGGCATCTTTTAATTCTCTTGTTGATAGCTGTGCTAACAGAGCATTTATTACTCTTTTTGCATGCTTCTTGGTCAAGATACTGCCATTAAATAAAACATCTCATTTCTTCCTTTTCAGTGAGGACCGAGTCATTGAACACTACAAGAAACTAAATGGCCAGACAAGAGGCCAAGCAATTGTGAAGTAAGTGAAATAAAAGCAACTTCTGGTGACTTTTGTTTTATCAGGAAATATTTATACTGGACTATAAATCTAATACGTAGCTATGTCTCCCAACTTATCTAACACTTTAAGTATGTATGTACTTATTATATATTTAAGCATTTCTTTTTAGATCATCCTCTCAGGGTTATTCTCTTATGTGTTGTTTTTCAGTTACATGAGTATTGTAGAATCCCTCCCAACATATGGAGTGCATTATTACGCAGTAAAGGTATGTGCTACAAAAAAGGGTTATTTACTGAATTATACTGATTTTGGAGAGGTAGGGGGAGAGGGGAAAATAACTGTACTGCTTTCAGAGTACAATATACTATTATTGAAGTCTTGTTTCATTTCCTGTGGTAGAATAAATGTATTTCAACAGTGTACTGAATGTTTGGTAAATACAGCTCCAAAGAGGAAAATGCTGTCCTTCAAGATAAAACGGACAAAGTCCTTTGGCTGCGCTAGATAAGTTCAGGCTAGAGATGTTCAGGCCACATACAGTGGCAAACTCTGGTGAAGCCAGTGAACCAGCACCAAAGGAACAAGCCAGGCATTTTGTCAGTGCTTCACAGCAGCTTCCTTTTTGTAGTTCCAGGAGATTGGGTTTTTCCTATCCTCCTGATGAATGAGCAACTAACTAGGGTCAGCCACGATCTGCAGACTGCAACTGCTTTCATTTGAGATATATATAGATGGATACAGATATAATGCATAAAGATGCCAAATATTAATGCCAAATCACTGGTGCATACTCTAGAGATGGCACTTTCCACCACACACACACTCACACACTCACCATTCTCCATTTCTTACTGTGTCTATTTCATGCAGGTATTCATGAAATTCCTTATTTCTTCTGTTCAGTGATTTATCACCAGATTTTCCAATCTCATGGTTTTGCATTGAGATCTCTTTGAGTATTCCAGTATTCATATTCTCTTTGAGTATTGGATGGATTAGGATGCATGTTCTAGCCTGCTAACACTTGAGATCTGTTCCAGTGAATTCTTCAAGATCAGTCTGTGCCAGTGAGCAGCAGTGAGGCAATATAATAGCTTTTGCTTCTGCCTGATGCAGGGGTTTTGGTTTTGCTGGTTTTACTCTGCCTTGCTCTATCACATTAACAGAACAGATGTAATTTCATTGAGGACTCCAGTCCAGTAAATTGCAGATGCTGGTATCAGATATCAGCTATTACTGCATGAGGACATTTTATTGCACGCTCAGACACAAAGCAGTTGGGTCCAAGACTGTCAGACCTTATCACTTTGTAGCTCTCAGATCCTATTACTGCTGCATTTTCAAGATTAATGCTAAAATCCCTCCACATAATTCAAGTCAGCTGGGTGATTCTCTTTCCTTCCTCTCTGACTTCTGAGTGTTTGGACTGAATAATTTAAAGGGCAGAGAAAGAGGGTGTACCACTACACAAGGGACCAATGTCAAACCTCCCTTGGCATCATTTTGAGTAACTTGATTGCAGATGATGCATTCTAAATGGTTTTATACATTATAGCTAGAAGTGAAACAGATCTCTTCTTAACACCAAAGAGTTTAGTGATTTGAGGAAATTCAGATGGGGCAATTTAATGGCACCCATGACATTCAAAGACATTGCTTAGAAACAAATCTTTACCTTGAACAAAGGAAATCTCCACAATTTTTCTCTCCCATTCAATTTAACTCTATTTTTTTCTTTCAGGACAAGCAGGGAATTCCGTGGTGGTTAGGACTTAGCTATAAGGGGATTTTTCAATATGACTACCATGACAAAGTGAAACCAAGAAAGGTAAGTGTTTGCTTTTCTGTCAAGGTCCAGGCTTGCCTGTCATGTTATAGCTTGATTTGAGGGTGTGATGTATATCAAATGCTGGCACTGATTCATGTGATTTTGAAGGATGTTAAATTTCTCCCAAATGTGTCTGAATGTCTGCAGAGAATTAATGGACAAAAGAAGCTCTTAATTTATTAAATGTTGCAGTATGGGGGGAAAATAAGCAACACATAACTTTTGCTCCTCATGCTTCTTTACAGTATGGTTCATAGGACATAAATTGGAGGTGCTGAAGACTTTTCAATGGCTGTGATGGGACTGAAGGTGCTCAGCTGACCCTTCATAGTCTGTTGTCAGGCCATAAATTATCAGAAAGGGAGAGGAGAGAAGAGACAGCAAAGCGTCTTCCATGCTTTGTAAAAAGAAAAGTACCGCTTCATTTTCTCCAGAGTAGCATTCTATTTGATAAGCAAATGAAGAGTTAATACCAAGCTGAGGGGGAAAAAACTTTTATCGCATGCTTAAAGAAAGTTCATTAAGAAGTTTCAGCCCAGTATGTGATTTGTTTAGGAACTTTACGTTGCAACCACTCACAAAGTAAGGCATGGCATGCAAAGATCTGATCATAAAATTAGAGCTTAATCATTGACAATCAGCTGTTCTGATCTTTTTACTGCTATATCTTTGTGAGGCTTTCAGTGTATCTGAAAATCAGGATTTGTCTCAGTCTTTCCAAAATGCAACTGAGAAATCCAGCTAACAAATATCCATTTCATCTGAGAGGAGAAAGGTTTTGATCCCCTGAGCTCATTCTACCAAGTAGGCTCATATGTTCTGATATTGCTCCCTAGGATGCAGTCCAGAACAAAAAACAAAGCTCATCTCTGAGCACATGCCCTGCAGGCTGATATGTACAGTCTGTTAGCAACAGTACTTCATGTACTGCAAACCCATGGAGACGTCAGGAAACAAGGTCTGAGGCTTCTTTGCAGGCAACTGTACAGAAATGGATGGATGATTTGGAGCAACTAGGCAGCTCTTCTGTGGGTGCAAATGCTTCCATGCTGAAATAACACACTGCATTTCTCTTTGCCTTGTCTCTGTTGCCAGAGTGTGCCACCTCCCTTTTTCTGCCTCCTCCAATCACATTCAGGCTATAAACTACCTGGACCTCAGATAGCATCTTCTATTAAAATAAACTAGGATCAAGCTTTTGGTAGAAGACAGAACTGCTAAGGAGGAAGCAAGAGGTTATAGATACACTGATTAGCCTTTTATCCACTGAAGGCTGTTCACTGGGTTTTTTATTCAATGAAGATGTGAATGAGGAGAGGGAAGCACGGGGGTCTTCAGAGCAGCTGTGCTCTAAAAGACTTATCTGTTTAGGATCAGTCACTACCTGCAGGGCAAGCCATACTTACACATGATAGTTCAAAACATGCCTAGGCTGGGTGTTTGTATCCACACATCTCCAACAGTGCCAGCTCCCCAGGGAAAACATGACCTTAAAACATGCCTTCAGAAGTCAATCACAGTGACAAAAACATTTCTTTGGAAGAAAATAGTAGCTTGCTATGATAGGACTCAACCTTTCAGAAGCTATAGCAATTTTTATTAGCCCTGATAGTAAGAAAGGGTTAGTGGAGGACAAAGAAGAAAGGAGGTCAGATACTCTGACTGCATGAGAGGGTACAACTATTCCTACTGGAAGAGTCAAGTCTCCTTACTTGGTTCTTCTACTTTCTTCTCACCTTTTCATGGTAATGGTGGTCTGAAGCATTGGTTTTAGAGTTGAAAGCATTTTGGCTGGCCTCTCTGTTAACCTATCTCCATCTCTCACAATTGCCTCTTGAATCAGAAGGACTGTAGGCATCTCCTGCTTTCTTGTCCAACCATATGCCTAAAAAATAGAGTTTTCTCTTTAATGGGGATTTATTTTTAATCTAAGTAGATTATGTATGCAATTCAGGAGACTCCAAAGAATAATGCTGCCTTTTGAACAAACCAGAGAACTTCTGTGGCTGAAGAGAAGTGGTCAGAAATCTTGCAGAGAAAGTTGGGTGGGAGAGGAGAGTAGGAATTTCCAGGCTAGAATTTGTCCATTGCCACAATCCAGAGATGGCATCAGTGAAAAGGCAGCCTAGATGAGCATTTCTCTGTGATGTGATGCTTGCAGACCCCATCTGTTGGCAAGGCTATTCCAAAATGCACAGTCTATATCAGGGATAGGACATGAACAGAGTGACTGAGGCTTTGTTATTTCTCTGTAGTGTGCTTTTACCCTGTGTGGACCAAGTAAAAAGACTTTTTACTTTCCACATGTAGTAAAATTCTTCTGGCAAGAGCAATCCAACTGCCTCAGTGAGATGCAATGTTTAATTCTTTTCTAATTAGATTGTAAAATTGCATTTGATAACCCTGGTATCTGGGAGCCTACCATAGGATCTGGTTCATTTCATTGTAGCAGCAAGAAGTGGTTCAAGTCTGGTGTGGAAAGGGGAGGGGTAATCATTGATGAGCTTTCTGCAAAGTAAAATTAGAGGGGAGGAGGGAAGAGATTATGTCTTTTCTGATATTTATTATTTTGTCCTACACATTGCCAACACCAGAAACAAGCTGAAAAATTGCAGTGGAAAAATAAATTTCCCTAAAAGAAGCACAAGCAGAAAACTGTAGCAAGAAACCAGCTGAAACAAAGACATTTGTTTTAAATGCATATAAAAACTTTGCTTGTCTTATAGGGGAGATTGTAATGTTTTCTTCTTATGTCATCCTAGACAGATTTTCAAGCTTACTGTGTTTGCAAGTAGAACTGTAACCTACACTAAGCAGCTGGGCCTATCTCAGGCGATCCCATTAGCAGTCAGTCAAAAGCACATTGTTATTAAACTGCTGGAGTAAATCAGCCATGTGTCTCTAGAAAGCTAACTAGGTTTGTCAGCAAGTTGGATGAATCCAGAGAGGAGAATTGGGGCTGACATTGGGCCAGAACCTGATATTGCTCCCAGTATTCTCACTCAAGCATAAGTCCTCTAGCATTACCTGGGATGCAGCTGAGATGGGTATCTGGCACCTAGTTAGAGGTGGTTCAGTCAGGAATGTGGGGCTATTAAACTGGAATGCAGCTTGTGCTGGGCCAAGAGCCTAGTGTGACTCTGTGCTTCTATTTTTGTTTCTTCCTGCCTACGCTTTGATTCTGTGGAAGCCCCAAAACTAACCAAAGCCATCACTCTGAGGCCAATCATTCTCCCTTCTGTATGTTCATTCTCCTGTATGTTCAGGGTAGCTCAGACTCAGTAAGTACTACCAAAGGCTTCTTCTTGAATATCATACAATCATAGAATGGTTTAGGTTGGAAGGGACCTTTAAGATCATCTAGTTCCAACCCCACTGCTATAGGCAGGGATACCTCCCTCTAGATCAGGTTGCTCAAAGTTCCATCCATCCTTTAATGCCTCCAGGGATGGGGCATCACAACCTTGCTGGGTAACCTGTTCAAACACAGATTTGATCCATATAAGTTATAATCTGATAGAAGTTCATTCTTAGGTATTAAATAAATGCAAAAGTTTCAGCCTCACTTAAGTAGACCTCACAAAACCCATCGTAACAGCTGAAAAAGAAGCGAATATCAAATGCAGAAAGATGGCTGCTGTTCTGCTAGAGAATGTGCTACTAGATACTGTCCTGCATGTCCTGCAGTATGCTGGGGCATGCTGGAAGTTTACTAACAGCTTACAGAACTTTTTTCATTTTTGTAACAGCAGTGTGCACCTTCCAGATAGGCAAAATCCATCTACCTCTGTGTCAGTAAAGACTTATCTTCTACATACTCTTCCTTGTGAAGAGAAAAGACCCTTCAGGATTTGACATGCACATCAAAAAGGAGTCACTGTCCTGCTGGGTTCTACACAGCATCTTAGGTCAAGATGCACCTTCCATAATTCATGATGAACCAAAGCATACTCTTTGGAGCCAACTCTTCAGAAAGGTCACATCTGCACTGCTTTGTCACTTACTCCTGAGGCTGTCATGACCAAGACCAGAGGAACATCATTTGTTTTTTTTCTGTGTTATGGAGAGCAGTTGGAAAGAGCAGGACACTGCAGTCCTTCTATATTGTTCCTGTATGGTATTCGTTCATTTTAACCAGTGGGTTGGGATGTAACTCCACTCTGTCTGAAGGGACCCATGCATGAAGCAGAAGTGTTGTAGCCTGGAGCTGAGAGATCTGCATGCTCATGCAGTTGTAGCAGCACTAGGCATGCCTCTCTTGTTCTAGTGAGATATTCCCACTGATTTAAGAGCCCGAAGGCATCTTTCAGTGCACACAGCTTAACAGTTAGTAAGCAATTAACTCCAAGCTGAAGAATTAAAAAGTAACAAAGTCAGCCAAAGGACTTCCCTATGGCCAGTAAACAGACACAGAAATTGTTTAACCTATCACCAAAAATAAAATGACCTTAAAGAAGGTCTGATAGTGTTTGGTTGCTTTGCAAGAAATACCACTATTTGGTGTTATCCAATTTTCTTTCACAGAAAGACAGTGGTTATGAAACTTAGGGTAAGCCTTTTTTCTCAGGCTCATAAACGTTACCGGTGTTCTCATTCTCCAGTTGACTAAAGAGAGCCCAAGAAGAATAAATAGTTTTGGAAACAAGAAAACATGTGGGACATCCCAAAATTCAGATGTGAATGTAGTTTGAGAAAGATTTCCCATAGCATCCATTTCTGCCATTTCTTCCCAGTGTTATCCTTTCTCTGAGATCAAATAAAGCATGCTATGAAAATACTTTATTCTGTGTTGTAATACCACCACAAAGCTCTATGGACTCTCATTACAGAAGGATTTAATATGTAGTATTATTGGAAATCCAAAGCAATGCTAACAGCTTGACTTCCAATTTACACATGCAAAAGGAACTGAGTTGGACCCCTACTGCCAAGAAATACAAAGCACAGGTAAAAAAAGTAGCTCTAAGTGTCTGATCACAGAGAAATCACCTGCTTGTCAA